TTTTTAAATTTCAATGGAAACCTGCGTTGTTCATTTTTCGGAAGTGGGCATTGTTGGATTTCCTTAGTTTCTACCCTGGTGATTGGAGATTCGACAACGTCCTATGATATCTCAGCTGCGAATGTTGGCTACGAAATTTTTATATTGAAGTGAAGACAATTGAAAGAAAATTTTGCAAGACGTTTTGCTAACTTACTGGCTTTTTTATAGAAAAAAGGAATCAATCGATGATTACGGATCATAACTTCTCGTTTCTCCCCATAAATATGTACTTTGAATTTTAAGACCGCACGATGAAAATTCACGGCCATCAAATAGCCCGTCCGGTGAGGAGGTCCCTCTGCTAGCAGCGAACGGACGAAAAGTTCCACATAAGGTCGTGTGTGCTTCGATTATGATGCTGGTCATCCTTGCTCTACTCATTTCAACCGTTACCTTCGCTGCTCTCTACTATCAACTCCTTGCTAAGGTAATTCCGCTATCGTGGTTTGCTATATCTATCATTGTAGTTAGCTACCTGATCTAGGATTCAGCCCGCCTTCCCAAATGGCCAAAACCATCGATCAGTCCTCTTGGCAAGTACTCACGGGCTGCCGTCGCAGCGGATAACGAGTACTGCTCCGAGATCGGAAGGTGCGTTTGCTAGCAAGATTCACGAATTTCTTTCTCATTTTTCAGCGTTGTATAGAAATGCTCCTTTTACTACTTCTCTATAAACTTACGGATTGTTCCTTCTCTAAGAAACTTCCGAGCGCGAATTGGGAAGTTTGGTTGAAGTGGTTAAGTGAAGTTAAAAGACTGAAGATAAAAAATCGCAGAATGTATTGATTTGTTTTGTTAAATGTTTGTTTATAGTTGATTTGCTTTATTTTTTCACCGCAGTCCGCAGGTCGAAACTTATTACCAGAATGAAATTCTGAATTCATGACCAAATCTATTGCCAAAGTCTGAAAACGAACCCTGATTATTTTGCCGTGACCCTTTAGGACAAGCTCGCGTTTTGCCTTAAAGGCACAGGTCGCAACCACATCCTCGGAGAGAATCTTCCTATGGGTAAGGAAATGGGTTCCTATAGCAGAGGAGTGTGACACTATCGCAGTTCGGTAATGCTCAGCAGCAGCGCCAAGACCATGGCTTGGCTATTGAGACCGCTGCCATTTTACTCGCTTGCAGCGTATGTGGTGTGCCCTCTCGTACAATATTTTTTGGTCATTTCTAGAGCCGCTCGAAAAATGTTACGTGCTCCCTTGCGCATTCCCCCCCCCCCCATCGCCGCGCTATAGAAAGCTCTGTAGAAAACACTGGGATTTCACTTGCAAGGTCGGCCGTTTTGTGAGGGAGAGAGGTAGCACTGCAAAGAGGAGGGCAAAGATGAGGGAGCACGGAGCACGTCTAACGCGAGAGGGCGCAGACGCCACGTATACCGCGATTGCTAGAGAGTGGCAGCGGTAAGCTAGCGCCCTTGCCGCGCACTTTTGAGTCGCGGCTCCTGTGAAGGCTACTCTTTCTCACTGAAGGAGGCACTACCTTAGCATCTAGTTCTGGCCTCTCAATTATGACCCCCAACAACTGTAATCGTATAACATGCTTTCAGTTAATGCTTTTTGGACTCGTTGAGCTATCTACATAGTTGGTTTCTTCGTTCTACTTTTTTACGACAAGTCCGGTGTCAGGAATGTGCTACTCCACGGTGGTAATGCTGTCGATGCGGCCGTCGCTGCACTGTTCTGCATCGGAGTGATGGACAGCCACTCGGCAGGTCTTGGAGGAGGACACTTCATGACTATCTACAACGCGTTAGTCTCTCGAACTCTCACGATCACCTTCTGAAAAAACAGTATCGTTTACTCTTTCAGGACCACGCAGCAGTGCACTGTAATGATGAAGGGAAGTCGCTCAAAGCTGCCACGTGAAGACATGTTTAGAGATCGAATGGAATGATAGTCGGCTATTGGTCGTGAGTGGAGCGTGTATGTCAACAGAATCGTTGGAACCCGCGTTCTTGTCTGTGGCTCGCGACGTCGTGGACGAGTATAGGGACGTTAAGTAGGCTCCTTCCTTCAATGTTCACCTTTGATCAACATCGAACCGTCGAATTCAAAAATAACACGCTCTTCGGAAAATTGCCTGACTGCGTCGCCGTGCGCAAGTGGCGGCGGGACGATCAGACGATCCTGTTGACCGTTCCCCGAGTTAGAGCGGTTTTCCCAAAAGAGCAAAAAAATGAGAGAGTCGGAAAGAAGACCCAAGGTGGCGTGGTGGCTAGAAAAAAAGGGTGTTGATACTAACGACGAGGAAAGATACACAGGATGCCCACAGCAAGCGCATAAGTGTATCCCATCCAGAAAGTATTTCAAGACCAGAGCTTTTTCAAAACAGGTTTGCACGGGACGTATTGAAGGCCACCCTGGGAGGAGCCCCAATATTTACGAAAGATACCCGCGACAGGCAAATTTGTTGAAGTACGCACCTTCATGAATTTGTTGCCAACTTCGTTGCACAAATTGACACAAATCCATTACGAACCTGCAACCATCGACCCTCGCTGCAACGCTTCCCGCCACCGCTATCGATATAGAAGATTAGCGTGTTCTCTCGGAACGGCGTGATCTCTCGCGTTTTTAATCTTCTTCGATCGCCCTGTCTCGCCATCGTACGACATCCTGACTTTATTGAAGGTTAAGAGCCTTAGTTTTTGCTCTTAAAGATTTCTCTTGCTTTCCTTTCCACTTTCAGTTCATTCCGCAGCCCAGCCATCACTGCGCAGCGCTCTCATTAACTAGTTTTATCTCGGGGTTTGCCTTTAATCATAAAAGTGGCATTTGAGCGGCTCTGGGAATGGTGAAAAATGACTTGTGGTTCGCTGACTTCCTCTATCGCTTTCGAAATGGTTAAAACTGCAATCCTATCACGCTGTCGAAGACGGGAGATGTCGCCGGGTTTCAGAGCTCCTCTGTTTTGTCGTCGGGTTCCCCAGAGCCCCCTTGTGCACTGCAATTATTCCTCTGTCGTAGCTCTGTAGTTGCTTTTAGGCTGGCTAGCTGTTGCGGTGCCAGGCGAGCTGCATGGATTGTATACAGAGTTCGAGAAGTTCGGTAGCAGGAAAATCTCATGGAGTGATCTCATTCAACCGACAATTGATCTGCTTGAGGAGGGTACGCTTTCCTCAGCTCTTCGCTCTAGCTTCCCCATTATTTTTCGATTGCAGGATTCCCCACATCGCATGCATTGGCAAAGGCGCTGAAAGGACGGGCACAGTTCATCGCGAAAGAACCAACAATGCAGCAGTTTTTGAATCCAACGACTGGAGACGTTTACCGTGTTGGAGACCAGATAAAAACCAGGTGATCATGAGATATTTTTCAGAGAAGATGATTTTAAGCTTGCATGCGAATTTTCTGCTGCCCATGCGCTCATGAAAATTCACCTTATCGAAGGATAGCACACATTGAGAAATAGATGCTACTCACTTGAAAGAAGCGATTACGGTAAAGAGAGAGCGCAATGGGAAGTGTATGTGCCACACGAAGCAGTAGCTTGGCTGCCAAGGAGGCGAAAAGGTACGCTGGTTGCTGAGCAGTACTTGGAAAGCACCCGCCCCTCAAGCGCTCCACCCACTAGTTTAGTTGGTGATTTTGGACGAGCTGTGTTGCCAGCAGCGACACAACTGGAGCAACTCGACTGGAGCATGGATTGGCATAGACCACCAAACGCGTTGCGGTAAACTCGTCCATACGTCCGCTGTCTTGAGCCGCTGCCCGTTCATGAGCGAAAATCAACAGCCAACACGAGGGGAG